TATATATATATATATATATATATATATATATATATATATATATATATATATATATATGGATATATTTGAAAGCCGAAAATGTTTAGTGTGGCTCATTCATTTGTCGGTTAGCAACTTTTATTTAAGTTCATTAACTTTCTTTTAAACAAAACACAAAATGTACTATGATCATTATTTGTAAGTAATAAAGTTAACTGTAAAAGAAATTTTTAGTAAGACTATAATTTATAAACGAATCAATCAGAAGCGTTTGAGAGATTTCAAGGTTACAATGCAAATTTCAGTACCTGATACTCACGTACAATCGATTTATAGTGGTGTGGTGTGAGTTACTTAGATTCACATAAGTAGTATATAACGGTGGTCAGGCAGAGAATGTATTTCAGTGGAAGATCGATAAGGAAAGAACGGAAACGGAATGCAATTAGTATGAAAATGCATAAACAATGAAATCAGAGATAATGGGTTGATATTTGCAAAAGGAACAGTCACGTTTGAGACGATGGATTGATATTTTGCAAATTATATTTACTGTATGATTCTCAAAATTTAGTTAGATGCTCTGCACTTTTGTGTTCAAATACATTCTATTGTCCTGACTCATGTTTGCGTTCACAATAGTGGATGTTATAGAAGACGTGATAATTGAGTGGCTATAACAGATGAGATTATTAACAGGTTCATTTATTTGTGACTGCGGTAGTCATCAAATGACTGCTGTACTGTGTGCAGAATATTGTGATGAGATTGTCTTTCGATGCTATTTATGTTGTAAGAAGAAATCTGCTAGAACAGTAACGTTGTTCCATCGATCCCGATTGAGACTAAGGCAAATCGTGATACTTTTTGAGAATTGGATAATATAAGCAGCAGTAATACTGGCTGCAACATTTGCAGACGTCACTGAAGCTTCAGTTGTTCAGTGGTATGAGTATTGTAGAGATATATGCACAATAAAAATGATAAGTTTACACGAGTCGTTTGAATGAGTGGGGAGAATTGTTGAAATAGACGAAACAGTAGTCAGGCAGCAAAAATTTAACAGAAGACGTAGTATTAAAAAAGACTAGTTAAGTAGCACTTCCATGAATATATCTCACAGGTCCTTGGAATTTACGACAGGTCATCCCAAAATAGACACTTGCAAACGGACAGAAACCAACAGGCGACGACAATAATACGGGAATATGTGCAGCCAGGCACTAAAATATATATAGAAGACTGTAGAGCGTACTAATGCCTGCATGTACTTGGTTATGTGCATCATATCGTTGTCCACAGGAGCCATTTTGTGGACCCTACAATCGGAATGCACACTACCAATAACGAAGCTATGTGGTCGAGGCTGAAGCAGTTTTTATAACCATATCATGGCTCCATAGGCCGACTATTATGAAGCCATATGGATGAATTTCTCTACTGTATGTGTTACGACTTCAGAACCTCCGAGCCTCTTTCAATCCCTTAAAAATTTCAGAACCATGTAAAGGAAGTTGAAGATGCCACAAGTATTGGGAGTTTGACAGCACTTTAACCAGTAACACCTTCTAATATGGATCGTACCCACCAAGTGAAATCAAAAGACAGAAGTGAGGAGGTTCGAAGATATATTTGATAGGCTATCAATATATCGAGAATCGTCTCATCTAATCTGGCTAGCGATTGCAGTAGATGTTGAGCACGGCGTTCCCATTCTTGATTTGGTGCGGATGCATGACCGAACGCCTTCGGCTAGATGAGTCCATTAAAAGTAATGCAGTCAGCACTCAATAAGGAAGACTTACAGAGCTATTTATTTTGGGGATTTATTTACCGCTACAAAGTGCATCCACTTTAATTCTTTGGTTTTGTATAATATATTTTTACTTTATGTTAACTGTTTTCTGATTAGCTAATATTTCTCAGGGTCACTTAGGATTCGTTCAAAGGTTGTCCATAAATCATAGTCTCGCCAAAATTTTAATTACGACTTTACGATTTATACAGTCAACCGAAAACATATGTTTATTAATATTCTCCTAATACTTAAACGTACACCCGAGAGGCTATGGTATTTGTATGAATTCAGGAATACGTATAATGTCTTAGTAAACTGGTGCCAACCAGTTCTTCTGCTAGACAAAGGTCTGTGTGAAAACATACCCGCAAAAAGACACCCACCATAGAAAATCAATATGAACGGAAACTCAAGTAATCACATAACTGTGAAATTTTTCACACATACACCGGAGTTTAACATCCCCTCAGCATCACACATCAGTTTGAATAATTATCAGCGCTCACTACAAGTGATATAGGTTTGCAAAGCTACAAAAAGCAATATAGGAGGATAATCATGCAGTTACTGACTCAAAGTGAGCTCCTTTATTCAAGCTACTAGCGGTAACATCACTTCTGATCGACTCGTGAGTAACCATAGATTGAAACTAAAGGAAACTATCTGCCCCAACTATATAGGTCAGACGTCTTGAACAACTGATTCTTCGACTGATTTTAAAACTCAAATGCACTGGAACCCATTTAACTTCGTCTCGCTCTAAAGAGATGCGACTTTCCTCCCAAACTCTGAAGCTTGACATACCCGCACAACTACAGTCATCATCAGTACACCACTTTAAGAGCGCTGTGGAACCGCTTATGTATCTGTTGGCTTATTTATAAACAATGCAAGAGATGAGCACGTACAACAATACGTTATTAAAACCAATATTTTTATTTCCCTATATTATGGGGTATTCCTATTATCATTTGATTTAATACATTGTTTTTATTTTTGTTAACTCCGCCTGGAGCCCCTTTCCGGGGGCTACTGCCGGTCCCAAGCCCGGATAAAGGAGGAGGGTTGGGCATGGGGTTAGCGACCCCATCCCGTAGAAAACTAACTCGCTAAAAAAAACGCTAACCAGAAAAAAATTATTCAAACCATTTAAACTCTGCCCTGGGATTCAGAAGGTCTTCGTTTAGAAGAATTATGACGCCTCACGATGAAAGCCGAGTTTCTTCGGAAGTCACGAGGCCGATGCTCCTTCTGACAACCAGAGCAACCATTTATTTAGGTACATGGAATGCTCGCACAATGTGGGAGACTGGGAGAGTTTTCCAAATTGCTGCGGAAGGAGGAGAGGAAGACCAAAGAATACATTACGCCGGGAAATGGAGATAGATATGAGAAAAACGAACAAGAATTGGATGGAACTAGAAAAGAAGGCCCAGGACAGAGTGGGTTGGAGAATGCTGGTCGGCGGCCTATGCTCCATTGTGAGTAACAGGCGTAAGTAAGTAAGTAAGTTTTATTTTTGTTAGATTCAACCGTCCCTGCATTCTCATGCTTTCTCGCTGTTTCCTCAACATAATTAATCAAATAAACTTCAGTCAATTGGAAGAACTGATGAAAAAACAATTTAAGACGACAATGAGATCGCTAATTTTGCTATTATCACGTCAAGTGCTGCTCCCTCTTTCCTTCGTCAGTCTACTGACGATTGTTGCTACCAACTATTCATTTCCATGGGATATTCAACCTTCTTTCCTACCCAGTCTTCTTCATTCTCCGAGTTCCCTAAATACGGGAATATCGTGGTCAGTAAAAGGAAACATCGGTGATGTGACAACGCATTCAGGCGACTCCTCAATCACACACTTCTTAAGTACATGGACCCTTGAATGCGATTTCTAGCTCAATGCGAAATCATAAGATCAGCTACCCACTATGAACTTTGGTCGAGATGACGTACTAACGGTCCTTAGCACTCCAGACATTGGAGAGCAACGAAACCGGATGATCTAGAACCGAAAATCCTGAATCAAATTACACAATATATCATTGTCCCACTGATTACGATATTCACTATGTCACTTCGACAAGGTGAGTTACCTGTGGTCTGAAAGGATGCGGTTGTTACCCAGTTCATAAAACAGAGTCAAGACAACTATCTTCAAACCGCAGATCTACCAGCCTCACCAGTGTCGTGGTTAAAATACCGAAAAGTATGATCAAAAAGCCTCTAATAGTAACCGTGGATACCAACAAATTGTTAAACAACGGACAACATGCTGTCTGATTAGATCTCAGCTAAGCATTTAACAGGGTGTCAAAAGATAGACTACTCTTGATGCTAGGAAATATTGCAACTGTCAGATCTCTCCTAAGGTAAATAAAAGCTACTTGATAGGTCGTATACAGAAAGCTGGAATATATTTCCGATACTTCTCCTGGAAACCAACGCTTAACGGAGAACCACCAGGCTCGATCCTAGGTCCTTTTTTTAGACTGTGTGTTAATGAACTTCCTAGTATAGTCAAGTCTCCGACGCAACTATACGCTGATGATATAAAATTTGGCGGGAAATAACAAAAGACTGACTCCAGGAATGTCGTGATCAGCTAATTTTAAAAAATGTTGATGACCATTACCCGACCAAGCGTTTTAACATGCACAATGGGGATACAAATATAAACAGGTACAGTATAGGGGAAGAGTCAGTGCCTGTTTTCCGGTCCCACAAGGATCTTGGGAGGAGCTATGATCTCAAGACCACGGCCCATTATCACAAGGTTGCGGTTGGAGGGTTTATAACCCAGTAAGCCTCAAGATGGATATTTAACAAGTTAGATACCACTATATTCACTACATTATACACGACTTCGATTAGATCCAAACGCGGAAACTTCGTTAGGACTAATGACCTATGTTTAGGTGGCTTGGATATCTTCAAAAAAGTGCAGAGACGGCTGTCCACGCGATTCCAGAGCTTCATAACCACAAGAAAAGCAGGTTGAGAAGTCAGACTCCTTTACCCTGTCATACATCAGATTAAGAGATGGTCTGATTTCGATGTATAGAATACTTAGAAATCATTTTGAACATGATATATAGTCTCTTTATCTCAACATTAAATCAATATGACCAATTGGATGCACTAAGAGAGTACAAAAGCCAAGAACGAACAAAATATCCGTGACATGAAGATTTAACATCAAGTAATCGATTCTTAGAAATTGTATATGGGAGCGGACTATACCAATACTACGGTACTTCACTGTAAGTTAATTCTTTACGTATCTCTCTACCATATTCGCTCAAGAAATCACAATTTGTTTTAAATACAGTTTCACTACACTCATTTTTCTCGAATTGAAACCTGGGCCAACTATTATCGTACACCTAAAGGGTAAAACCCAGAAACTGGAGATACAACATAGTAGAACGGACTGAAGGCACAACTTCTACTCCGTAAGAGTTGTCAAATTCTGGAATTCGCTGCCAGCTGAGCTAGTTCAAGCAACTTCCCAGGAGTCCTTTAAGAGGCGACTTGATCTATTCTTAAGGACTAAGGATAGTATCCTACTATGATTTACCAATTCATTTTCTTTCTCTTTTATCGTTAATATACCTAGGTTCTTGCCTGGAGTTATTGGTGATCCCCTAATACTAGACACGGAAGCCTGTTAAGCGAAAGCTTCTATTCCGTCCACAAACATTTGAACTCAGTGCGGTATTACTATAGTGTATACCATTTACCAAAATATCCGTGATATCGGCAGCAGTCTCAAAATTTCGACACAATATTAACAAAACATTGATCAATTTTAGTCAGAATGTGTTATTTCGCTATGTAGGAATATTCCCATAGGTTTGTACACCTTAAAATTCTCTTCCTTTGTTAGTTAACTCTCCATTGTATTTATATCATCGTTTGTACAAATGATACCGTAAGGAAATAATAGACTGGGATGGCTAAATAGGAATTCGAAGTCAGTGGCCCTGTCGCCGGAATACGATGAGTTGCTGTTTTAAATCTCCATGCAACTTGTTTTCGAATTTACATATATTAATATATGTAAATTATTAATTAACGCTGAATTTAGGTTTGTCCGTAGGGGTTTATTTATTTATTTATTTATTTATTTGAACACATAAATATTGGTACAGGGGGGCACCAAATATATATGCGCCACACAAAACAATGATAATTTGAAGAGAAGGAGAAAAGAGAAAAAAAAGAAAAAAAAAGTAATGAACGTGGGGAATTATATATAAATAAAAAAAAGAGAGAGAACAATGGTGGGGGAAACGGAAAGGTACAATCAGAAGAGATCTTTCAATTAAGGAAGATACAACCACTTTTTATGAAGAAAGTAAGAGGTTACAGCACGATCGCCACTGGCTTCTATTCTTAGCCATATCTGATAACGTCTCTAGCCACTGCGTTACACCGTCTCTCGGACCCCAACCAGGGAGTCGTGAAGGACCAACAGAAGCTAGTCCTTTGCAGCTTTCTTTCATACCACGACACCATGTCATATACTGACCACCTCTCCGCTTTTTCCAACCAGTCCCAGAGTCGGCAAATAATGCACGACGTGGAATTCTCTGGGACGACATTCGTAGAACATGTCCAAGCCACCGAAGTCGGTGTTTCAAGATGGTGACACCAATTTCATTATCGTCTCTGTGACCGAACACTCGATGCCGAACCTCTGCATTACTGACATGGTGTTGCCACTGAATGTCAGCAATCCTTCGGAGACAACGATGATCGGACACAGAGAGTCGTCTAACATCCTCAACTCGGAAAGGCCAGGTTTCACAAGCATAGAGCAAAACTGCTCTCACCGTCGCGTTGTAGATCCGACCTTTAACAGCCAGACTAACATCACGAAGGCGCCAAAGATGGCCCAGATTGGCATAAGCCGCTCTGGCTTTCACTATACGTGCATTGATCTCATCACTCACACCACCACCAGCACTTATGCGGCTACCTAGATACACGAACTTCTCGACTACTTCTATCTGCTCACCATCCAGAGTGAGTACAGGATTAGAATCCTGCCAGTCTTGTGGAAGAACTTTGCACTTCGAAGGTGCAAAGCACATACCATACCTACGGACACTGATTGCCAACTGATTAAGTGCGGATTGCATGACTTGGGCATTCTCGCACTGTAAGACAATATCATCCGCATACTCAAGGTCGAGAAGTTAGTTACATAATTATGGGAAATTGTTATTTTCTGATGAATACATATATATGCGTAAAGTTTGACTGTCTTAATACTTCAGTGTTTGTAATATTAACTTCAATATGGTCCTCTTTAGTTTCATTTTGTTCTTTCAGGATTCCCTATGCCGATGTCAACATGTCATGTCGGATCGGTAGTTACACCATTGGCTGTCTTAAATCGACTGCCAGGCTGGCTCGGCACGCTGGTTATCAGCCCTGATGGATCAGTTCTGCAGTCGGCTGGTGAATTAGTGAATAACAAAGAATTGGCCCAACATTTTGCTGCGATCGCCAACAGAGTTGGCCGTTTATTAAATATGGAAGGTGAAAGAAAAACTCAACAATTCAAAAGATTAACTGGTGAGATATGCTTTTTCGTCTTGGTTGTTTCTTCACAATGCTTACTGCATTGATATGTTTTATGATCTAATCGAAGTGTACCAAGTTAAAAGTTTCTTCTTCCATGTTTCCCTCAATCGGGTTGTCTTGAATGAGGTAGGATAAAAAATAGTTGTTAGTTGATGTTATAAATCACACAATGACTTAACAAATTAATATGTTCTTTACCTCGCTGAGATGTAGTAGAAATGTTTTCGCAAGAATGAGCAACACCTGTGTTGAAGTATTACTCCTAATGAAAGCATGAACTAAGAGTGGTTGACTCTGAAAATATTAACTTTACACTCTCGCGTTTTGAAGCCTGCTTTAAGGCTTTTGAAACTCTGCCAACCGATTTCATATGTTAAGTGCTACTATCTTGAAGCGATTCTTTATTGGACTATATTGACAGGGGATCTAGTCGGGTTGACAAGCAATACTGAACTATTTCTCATATGTTTCGAAAGAGCTAAATCCATCAACAGACTAATCTTATTGATTAAATACTGCTACGTAAAGTAATTAGTCGGTGTTTGGAATTCAGTCATAGTTTCTTCTTATCCCCATTGGTTACTAGTTATAGTTTATTAGACAAACCAAACTTTGGTAATATTGGTTCCAGACAGTCGCTTGTAATTATACTTTAGATCAACCCAACAATATGAAATTATAAAGATCGGAATCAAAAGAGCTGGAGTTTTAATGTAAGCAGGAGCAAAAAATCAGCCATAGGAAATGTGGTTCGAAAATTATAAATAAAACAAGCAATGAAGGATGCGTAATAATTTTAAAACGTGAAATCTAGGGGGTGGTGACAAATCAATGTTTCTGTACCACAACTAAATTAAGTCATGTGACCTAGGGCCTAAACCGTAGATCACTATTATCTCGCAGATCACAACCAGGAAATTTCCATTTCAACATGGAGCAATGAAACAATTGGTAACTTTATTAACTAACCTCAACGCGGTCTGAGTCCACAAAGCCTTTTCTCAATGTAATTATATCTTAGTTAATATTTCACATCTGTGTTCGACAGCGACTAGGTATGTGCCAGAAATGTTTGGACCACCAAATTTGATGTAAATTTTCACTTTTTCAATTGATTTATCAGTTGTGATTTAACACTTAATGAGAAACGCTGCTACGAAATCCCCTAACCAAGGTACTTGATTATCAGCCTTTGTCAATGTTGCATCTTGTATTCTGGATGGGGTAATCATAAAGTTTTGACTTTCTAGGACGAACATCCTAAAATGTGACTTGCAACAGTTCCACCGAATATCTTTTAGTGACCCATCCCGATGAAGTATTGTCTCTTATTGGTAGTTGTATTGTCTCTTCTTTCGAAAAGATCAACAAAATAAACACTAGGATACTGTCAGTAGCAGTCAGTCACGTTCTCTGTCCCCAGAATGAATTACGACCATGAAACGTGAGGGAATTCTCCAAGTTATATCCTTTCTAAATTTTGTTTCGATACCTGTGTATTCGTTTTGTTGTGGTGGGAAATTCACATGGTATTGCTGCAAATAGCCTGAAGTGTCAACCTTAAAACACGTAATTATGTCATTAATAGTTTCTAGTTTTTTCCATATCATAGCAGAGATCAAAGATGTGTTGCGTAATCCTTTTTATAGTTCTGTTAGGTTTGCAGTTGTGTAATTATCAAAGATCAAATTTAGCTATGGATCGTAGGGCGTTAAAACATCTTAAATTAGCTTTCACTACGATAGGTAGTCCATTGTTCGGGGACTTGGATCCGATTTCGGTACAATAATCAAGGTTTGAATCAACCAAGTATTTATGAGTGTTGGCTCGTCATGTTTCTGAACCCTTGTCTTAACCAAGTCTGCTGAAGTTTACAAGTCCATACCTTTTGACTTCCTGTCACTATCGCATTTACGTTTCGGTCTCCTAACTTCAGTTTTTCAATGAAGCGTCTGGCTTTCATGTAAGTGGACAATATGTCCTAAGCAAAAATCTAATTTCACTGCTTCAAGAAAACCTTGCATTTAGTCACAAAAAACCCTGTATTTGAGTTATCGTGCTTGGTGTTACCGATAAACTGAATACACTGTAAGCTGATTATATATTTCAAATAGTGTTTTATAAAAGCTTAATGTCCATGATTTCATAAAATCCTAATGTTGGTAACCTTTAATATCTATTTTCCTATCTACTCATTGAGATTTGATAGCATTTCTCCAAAATCAACTTACTTTTATTAAACGGTTATTCAACAATTTAAAAAGTATCTTTTTCACCAAACCAGTTGCAAAAATATTCATTCTCTCGTATTAATATCTGCTTTTCAAAACGGAATTTAACTACATAATTAGTAATGATAATTTTCTCTTGTGTTTTCTTCCTTTCATTCATCCATTTAAAGTACATTTTGAGCATTCAATATATATTATGACATGTGTTGGTGATACCATCTATGTAGTAAAACGTCTACCCGATAATCAGAATATTTCATATGCAGATACATATCAACAATTACATCTTGTCAAATCGGATAATAGTATGACTAGTAATAACAATCCTATTGATGTACATCATTCTGCTACTGTTATTAATACTACTAACAATATGGTTACAATAGATAATCACGGACCTCATATTTTTGAAGCACGTGCTCCAGATGATTATTAAAAATGAATATAATACCATATTCCCTTTACCTAATAATTTCTTCCCTTTTCTTCTCTTCATCGTACCAATGAATATAATTTGATGTAGCGAAATAATTATCTTTTCGTGTAAATAATGTTGCTTCTTTTGTATCTGTTTATTTTTTATTGTAAAATTTGAGAATATACTAGTCTTTTGATAATCAGCTTTGTTCTTCATCATATCGGCAAGATTAAAACTGTGATATATTGTAACATTTTAAAGCTCAGGACATTCACTTCGTTCTATTCGAGTGTCGTAAACTAGTGTATTTATTAATAAATATATTTTTTAATTCACTTGGCATTGTTCTACTTGAATCTTCCCATTGATGTTTAGGACTGCAATTGATCAGTATCTTATTCGCATATGTGCATACTGTGCGTATTGCCTTAATTTACAAACATAGTGGCTAGCAGTGGAATCCAGGACTTGCGTTTCGTCCTATTTGGGACATCAGCTGGATGTACCTGCATCTCGGAGTTGATGTTCACTCTAGGACTCGAACCGAGTACCGTTCGCTTCAAACGCAAGTGGCTATTAGGACTCAGTGGCTAATGGATAACGTGATGGCGTTGGAAGCGAATAGTACTTGTTCGAGCCGCAGAGCCAACACCAACTCTGAGATGCAGGTACATCCGACTGACGAGTCCCAAATAAGACGAAACGCGCGTCCCGGATTTCACTGCTAGCCTTTATCCATCTTTGCTTATAAATATATTTTTTGTTATATCCCAATATGCAGAAACATTTTGTCTCTTATATTTCGTGACATTATTATTATTATATGGCTTTATTCAATATCATATTTCGGCACAATTCAGAATTCTCAGCACAAGGTATGTCAACAAGTTTCTTTTACAAAAAAAGGAAAAAAGATCTGAAAATGTACAACTTTACAAATTAGAAACATGTTTAGGAATACAGGTTATTGACTAGGTTGACTCTAACAACCTGCTCGTCACAGATTATATTTGCTAGGTTAAGATATTATAGAACTTTTATGCGTTTGCTTGCGTGTATGGATTTTTATGTAATCAGGTCTCGTCCTACCAGAAGATATACAAGGAGAAAGGTATGAGTTAAGGATATGGTTAGTATCGGATAAGACCTGTCAGTTTGCAAAACTTGAGATGTTTATCCACCACCATATTAATAATGACCTCGAAATATTCACCACACAACCTGCTAACTACCTTCAGCACTCTCCACAATACATCAAAGTTTTTTCTCAAAAGCCCGGGAAAGAATAATGGAGAACAGCAAAGAATAATAGGTAATATACAGGAATTAACAAATTGTAAGAGTAAATGACAAGTAATCCCAAAAGCATGTAGTCTCTTTATGTAGTAAGTCAGACGGAAAACTTTCTTCGATAATAGTAAAACATGAAAAAACCAAGAGAGATCAGAGGAAAATGTAACACCAAGATAATTGACATTTGACACTGTGTTTATCAATGAGTCTCCAATGACACAAGCATAATTGGATCGCAAAATGGTGTTTAGATGCCGTTCATGTCTCTTACTAAAGTGATAGTATGTTTACGTTAGTGTTTATAACTAATATCTAGTTAACCGACAAAGTTTTGTCGCATCATGATGGTTTGAGTTTAGAGTAAGAATTAATTTCTTGTTAATTGGTCTCATGTTTATTGATAGTTTTTCGACAACTTCAGCAAAAAGTAATTTTTAAAAAATCTTAATATCTTTTACTAAAAGTGTATCAAACTAGAGGTGAATAGACGTAATTACAAAAAAGGCGTCATTACTTTATTTTTTATGAAGGTGACATCAAGTATATATGGATAACTCACTCATAAACAATATAGAGTCTACTTACTTTTACTGATGCCTGTTATCCCTCGTAGAGGAGCGTAGACCGCTCACCAGGCTTCTTTATCGAACTAGCATGGTTATAAATTGTCTCAAGTTTCCACATTACATTAGCACAATGAGATTAAATTAACAAGGCGCATGTTAAATGGAGTTGAAGTAGTGTCGTCTATTATTGGGTAAAGTACCTAGAGAATATAGCTTGGAGAAGTCGAAATATCTCAGCAATTTGAAGGGATTTTGTGTAGAACACACAATTTGTTATCTTGATTACCACATATGCTGTTAATAATATGTTTTATTAGTGTAGATAAATTAACTGGTTCAGTCCTCCAGAACGACTAAAAGCGCGACAGTAATGTTCACGTAAATCACTTTTAAAGGATGCCAAAGGTATAATTTAATATGTAAATGAAGGAGAGACGGGTATAAAGTATTTCTTTTATATATTTTCACTTCTGAGTTTCACGTTTTAATCCACCTTCAGTTTGGACAACAGAGTAATGTAACTATTCATCATATCTAAGGTTCTCCTCGATTGTGTATTTAATAAACGGGTTACATTGTTTAATAACATAACAACACGATTAACTGAATACTCAATGATTTACTTATCAGTAGTATTAAATTGTAGTTGCACTGTGTCATTAAAAATGTTGTCCTACACTTTGTTTCGACAAAGGGTTTGGGTTTTTCCAATCACGCCTCGCAAAGGATGATCTTACTACTAATGATGACTTATAATCAATGAAGATAATGTAGACCTCAGATTGGTGCAATTTCTCTGAAATCAAACACTTCATGGTTTGTGCTCTCACATCTAAATACTTCTCTTATGTATGTATTCTGAAGTTTGCATCCGAGAGTTTCTATTAAACTGAGAAATAGTTACTGCCCAGTAACATTTCCATAAAGAGGTACGTCAAAAATAAATTCTATTCCACTTTTGTAGAATTATCGGCGAGGCTATAACTTTTGGACGAGTCTTAAGTGACCTTGAGAAGTATTAGCCAATCAGTATAGAGTAAAAATATATACAAAACCAAAGAAATAAAGTGGATACACTTCTTATACGTGGTTTAAAACTTGTCAAAGGTTAGAAAGAGGTTCTAAAATCGTAATGCATGCAGTAGAGGAAATCATCCATACGGCTACAGAATAGTCGGCCTCCAGAGCCATGATAGAGTCTCAAAAACCCTTTCAGCCTTGACCACATAGCTTCAATATTGTTTACGTGCACTCTGGTTGTTGAGTACGCAAAATGGCACTCGTAGATAACGACACGATGCACATAACCAAGCCTACGTAGGAGTCTGCACGCTCTCCAAACATCCGTATATACTGACTGCAGCCAGTGTTACTGGTACTTTTATTATCTAGTTCGCAATAATTGTTATAATTTGCCTTAGTTAGGAATTTTATATAGGGTTTTCATCACGAACTGACATCAGCTATAATGCCAGAAATCTATCTAGCCAAATTTATGAAAGGCTTTCGCGCCAAAATCCGTGATCTGTTATGTTATACCTGACTTGTTCGTCTACAAATTATAGTCTCGCCGTTTTATTTGTTATAGCCGCTCAATTATCGAGTTTTGTACAAAATACCCTGTGAACCGATCATACGTTAACATTCAACACTGAGATTGGCGCAGTGACCTTGATTGGCTCATCCATAAATTAGAGTCTTGCCATACATCAAAACCAGCTTACGGATTTATTTCTCTTTACCTAAACTGTGTGAATGAAATATGGATTAAAATTTGGTAATTCAATTCATTTACCATTAATCAATTGTCGCTTACACTCCCACCCCGGTCTTCATTCATCTACTCATGATATATTATTTGTATTTCTCATGCTCATTTTGTCTGTTTATATCAGTATTTATGTGTTTTTAGTAATAAAATATTCATTCAAAGCGACTTAATTGGCTTTTCTAATTGTTCACACTTGTCATTGAAGTACTATGTTACAAAATCCAGCTGACCAGTCCCAAATAAAACGAAACGCGCGTCAAACTGGATTCCACTGCTAGCCACTATCCATCTTTGCTTAAAAAATTTGTGACTTAAAGTTATATCGGGGCAATCCGCACAGAATACACATATGCTAACATGAGACTGATGATCAATTGCAGTCTTAAATAACAATGGGAAAACTAAAACATTCGCGTTATTAGCTTCTCTTCTAAGTAATATCTGTTTCAAGTTGCGTAATCCATAGGAGCTCATCCAGTGACCTGTTGTGAACCAACAGATCTTAGTATCAAACCAATATCTTTCATTTTACAATTTCATATATATTTATTGACATTTTATACTTCCAAAATCAGTAAATAATTCGTTGTATACAAGTATCAGGGTTAGCGTCCTTTAAACGTATTCTAGACATCAAATTCAATGTATGAAGATGGCTAACATCATCCCTAAACACATTGAAAGACTGACATTTACATGGTGTTTTACTACCACAACATGGAAGTTAACCCTTATCATGAATTGAAATCATATCGTTAACAACCAGTTCTGATTTATGATGAAAATCATCTTCCCATTGTTATTTAGGACTGCATTTGATCATTTTGATGTTGGCGTATGTGTATCCTGTACGGATCGCCTCGATATAGCCTTAAGTCACAAGCGTTTTAAGCAAAGATAGATAGTGGCTAGCAGCGTCCTGGATTCCGCTGCTAGCCGCTATCCATCTAGGCTTATTCCAACGATAGTAAATAACAGGCACATAGATGTGCATATAAAGTTACTTCCCATGTCATGAAATAGGGTATTGAATTCTTATTTAAATGTTTATGATAGCAATTCCAGTATCATTTTTTTAAAAGAGCTGTACCAAGGTAGCTAACTATAACTATGGTAGGTTTAAGGTATATTAAAGAATATCTTGTAAAATTGATTAGACATTTCACTCATAATTCCAAATCCAAATTTCACTTAACATCAGTGTTTCCACTGATCCAGAATACGTTATGATGGATAATCTGTTGATTCAGGTGACTGCAGTAATTCCTGTAGAACTTTTAATGTCGATCAATGTAGTTATACGTTTATAGAGTTCCCATTTGGTCATAACAACCGTGGTCGTTTAAACCGATTGCATTTTTCATGTATTTCAGACTTAGCACCGTATTATCTGGGGACAGGATGCTTCAATATAAATGCTTAGAGCTTTAGAAGTGATGTCAAAACAAAAAAAATGACGTAGAAGATGGAATTTTAGTATAAGTGGACACGAGTAAAGTACTTTTCTGTTTGATATCTTTAAAAAAGTGTAAAATTGATTACAACTATTAAGTAACTGTCCAACATATAAATGGTGTACCACCTTAGATTTTTGCTTTACTGACAGTCAGGATGAATCATTTAACATTTTTGACGTAATTTCGAGGTTTTTAATTTGGACCTGTTACGATCGAGGGTGGAGAGAGTCAGCTCTCCCTCTCGAAA